CAGAAGTGGCTCGAACTAAGCAATTTCTTCGTAGAAGGCATAATCACCTTCGAAAATAACCCATGCCGAATTTCGTAAAAGTATCTGGTCAAATGAAGAAGTTTTCCATACAAAAACATGATTTTGATCGGTCAAATTGTATAGCAGCTATATGCTATAGTAGTCTGATCCAAAAAAATTTTACGGCGACTGCAGCATCCTTTCGGATAATAATTCATGCCAAATTTCGTGAAGATATCTTTTCAAATAAAAAGGTTTTCCATACAAGAACTTGAGTTTAAGCCGGTATATAACTGGTATATATATGGTATATATATATTGTATCAGAGATAGTAGCATTGTTTTGAGATATAATCTGTGTGGATATCTTTTCAAATAAAAAAATTTTCCATACAAAAATGTGATTTTTATCGGTCCGATTGTATGGCAGCTATATGCTATAGCGATCCGATATAGACGGTTCCAATAAATGAGCAGCTTCTTAAGGAGAAAAGGACGTAGTATGCTAAATTTTAGAACGATATCTCGAAAAGTGAGGGTCTAGGGACTATACAGACGAATAAAGGGACAAGACTAGATTGATTCAGGGTGTAAAATTACCTACAACTTTCGCATACAAGTTTTTTTCCATAGAACTCGTAGTTTTGCCTGAAATCGAAATAAACCGTCTTAAATCATTAAAAATTTAAGCAGCCCTTTCCCATCCCTTTCCGATCTAAGATCGTTCGTAAATTATTTTTCCCTTCGTTTATGTTACCTCATCATTCTTTTCACTGGATTTCAAACTATTATGGTATTGTTTACTTTCAAAAAGAATCTATTGTGGTCAGCTAAGAGAAGAAGATTTAGTACGATTACATTACAAAACTGTCAATTTAATTAAGACAATTAAGTGTTTTTAATTRATTTTGAATTTTGAATTTGTTAATAAAAGTAAATAAAGCAGATTTTAGTCTTAAAACCGACTGTCAAAGCAAATGAAAGAAATCCTCAARTTAATTTAAATACTTTCTAATTTAAATCTCAATTTATTTATAATAGTATAGTTAATTGAACTCACATATTGACTCAATTTAGAAAAAACTTGCTAATTATTTAGTTAATTGAAGATAATTTGCCTAAGTTACTGTTTCAAATTGTCAAATATGAAGTTCAAGGTATACCTTAAGCATTCTTCTAATATTTCAGTCGAAACCTTTGCTATCAATAAATCTTTAACGGCAAGTAAAATTATAATATATGGAAGAAACTGATTAAAATAGAACAATATTCGAAATCTACTTTTAAATCTGGTAGTAGTTTACTAGTAAGAAGTATTTTTAAGTTTCCAAAACAGTTATTTAGCAACAAATAATATTCTTTATTCAGAAGTAAATGTACTTACTAATTAAATAAAAACTTAAATGAACTCAATGAAAGACAGTTAGTACTGTTGAAAGTATTATATCTTCACTTACAACACGGAAAATTCGTTAACTCCGCAAAYCATCCTCGCATACAAAGTAAGTGCCATGATACACACGAATTACTGGTGAAAAGATTGACGCTTGGCAGCTTATTTAATCAAAGTCTTAATTGAGTTTAATTTGCCTGCAATTGTAGTAGAAATCCAAGTGACTACAATATATTTACATATCAACGAATACTTCTGTGGATTACCGTTAAAGCACCGTAATTTCACAGTAGCTCCACTGTTTCACAGCTATAATGGCATGACTTTATTTTATAGCGTTTTCATTTATCACAAGCTCAACGCTTGTTTCGTTCAAATGCCACATCATTGTTGTAGTCCATTATAAATGCGATAAGCTGGCAACGCCTGGCGCAAGTGTTATAAGGCGTCGACGCCAACAAAATAATGCACCGCAATCACCCGCCATAATTATGGCAAATTAACGACAAAGACAAATCGTAAGCGCTGCCGTCGCACTCAGCACATTGTCGGCACGCCTGTCAAGGCGGACAAGCCAACGTCTGTGCAAATGCTGCAGTCGGTTTTCTTTTGTCGAATTTTATTTGTTTGTCGGTCGTTTCATTGGTTTTGCTTTGTAGCGGCCAAAAGTGGCAAAAAACGCTGCTGAAAGGTGACAAATCTGCTACCAAATATAGCCTGCAGATAGCAGCARCAAAACGTAGCATTTTGTCTAGAATTATAGTCTTCGCAAAGTGTGTAATTTCGTACATAATGGCAATACTAATTGGCTGCCTTTTGAACGTTGGTGCATAAATGTATTTTGAAGTACATATATAGGTGGCTACATTTGTATTATGTTCGTCTATTGACTATTTGAATCACTTGGGAAATTGTATGTACTAAACTTCATTCATCATTGCAATCAGTTTGGAATTCTCAACCGTCTTATACAATAAATGTTTCACATATAACTAAGTTGTCTGCGTAAAACTATGATTTCTAAGATGTTTTTTCACTCAGATCTTGGAGCATAAATATTTTTCACTWACTTTAGTATAACTTGTTAGTTGATTTTGAAAAATGTCTAAGATAAAATCTGTAAACCGCGTGAAGGGTGTTTACGCCAATAAAACAGAAGAAATACTCCTTTATATATATATATATGTACATCTCAAGTAACCAAATACGACTTTTTGTATTTTAGCACTTTTGTATTATAACCCAAAGTTTTTCGGTAGTTCATTGAAAACTTGGAAAAGTTTAACCAGAATTTTGAAAAATCAAGATATACTTGTATTAATGRAAAATACTCTCTTATAATCTACACTCCAGTCGTAATTGTTACTTTACTAACAGCCCTAAGAAACTTGCTCTTTGGAGAGCTCCTCTTGAGAGATGTTACAATGATAATCATAAGACATAAAAAATCGTTACAACTGATTTCTGGATCCCGAATTGTAAACTAAATTAATTTCGCGTTCGCTTTGGCTGCTCCTGGTTAAAAATATTCGGAATCCCGAACTTATTATACATAAACTAGTAATATATATGTACGTATGTATATAATTTCACACTACAGTTTGTAAAGTACTACAATTCCAGATGTAACAGTATTTGGAATAAATTTTCGGGATCCCGAAATTATATCTGAAATTAAGWGCACTACACATATAAGTTTTTAAATCGTAAGTAACCAAAATSAGCGYGAYAWTAAYTTGGTTTACAATTCGGGATCCTGAAATTATGTATGAAATTAATTGCACTACAAAAAGAGTTTTTAAGTCGGAAGTAGACGAAATGAGTGCGACATTAATTTCGTTTAAATTTCCGAATCCCGAAATTATATGTGAAATTAATTGCACTCCATAATAAATTTTTTAAATCGTAAGTTACAATTCGGGATCCCGAAATTAATGTGAAATTGAAAATACCCGAAATGAGCACGACCTTAATTTGGTTTACAATTTGGGATCCCGAAATCAGTTGCAAAATTTTTGCAGCTCTACAACGCATTTTTTCGTAAACATTCCCGGAAAATTTAATAAGCCAATTTATTCGTCTAACATTTCTTAACTCGATAACGCAAAATTATTGATTATTAAAGAAAAATCCATATTTATGATATTTTACCAGCTCTAATTAAATCACTTAAGAAATTCCACACAATCAACTGCACTTTGCTTGCGGTTGTCAGCAGATAATACTTGACATTAATTTATGTCATTGAAAAAACGCATTGACAATGGCAAAACTCAGCAATACGACAACAACAAATCGCAGACAACACGTGATTAGAACCAAATATCTTGATACAATGCACAGCCATTTAGCGACGCTTGCGCCGATTATTTATTCGAGCGAATTTTACACGCCTCGACTTGTGCATATTCTTGCACGTATTTTTATGGCATTTTAGTATGAGTGCAATTATACTCTATTTTTTAATTAAATTTACAGAAACTTGTTTTGTCTGAAAGCAACGCAGCGCCAGAGGACAGTTTAGCGTTCCAAAGTGGAATATGGTTTGCTTTTCCTTAAGTGGAAGGTATTTCTTGTGGTATACTTATGRCATGCACTGTGTTTAAGTAATTATRAAAGGTTTTTTCKSTCTTTGGTGCTTGTTTATATAACAAATGTAGCGCTTACACTTTTCTTGTTGTTTGGTCGAGCTTTTTCTCTTATTTTAAAACTTCTTTGAAAAAGTCTCAAAGTCTCCGAATGCCGAACAGATTGTTCCAAATATTGCTTTCTTGGCAGAAATACATTTAAATGCAACATAACGSCTTTTGAAGAGAGATGGCTCTTGAAAAATTCTGTAGTTTTTTACCTGGCTTTTTATCGGAATAAACCACTCCAAATGGTAGTAAGAAAAGTTCATTGAGCACTATAATAATTGAAAAGTCTAGGACATTACCTTAACGTTGGCTGTAACTATTCACACAATGAGTTCATCTTTATTTTTTGGTTTGCTAGTTGATCCAAAGATCTCACTTGGACTCTTAAATAGAGTCCTTTGTAAAGCCATAAAGATAGAAATCCTTTATTCAAGCATACAAGTCAGCAAAGCGCCAGGTGGGATATCTAAGAGTCTGAGCTTCAAATGAATCTGAAATCTGAAATGCTTTCACCACATCTTCTTCTAAATAGCTCCTACAGTTGGCGTCCGGTGAAATGACCTGTTAGAACCCCACTAAAGGGAAAAAAGCCCACTGGATCTCTTACGATCTTGTGCTAAGGATCTTGGSACATCATACGAACCGATGGTAGCTCAGCGCTGACCAAGCTTCCGCGAAGCCTAGCTAACCASCAGTAGAAAACTTGAGTATAGTGAATCACCGCTCCGTTCCTAATCTAYTAATAGCTAGACTTAGGTCCCTTTTTTTCCAGCTCGTTAGCTAGACAATTACCTGCGATTCCACTCTGGCCTGGATGACGAGGTTAGCCATTCCTTAACCAACTCTGAGCGCAGAGTTAGTGAACTCAAGTGCAGTAGCGCCACCCTGCTATCAGAGTGGATAAAATATACCATCTTTACTCTTTAGTAGACACTATCTTCTTCTTCCATACTCCGTGTGCTGCTTCTTATACTTCTTACAAACTACGAGTGAGTATTTTTTAAGATTTCAGAATACCCTGGCCCAATTAGACTCAAGTCAAAACCAAACCTCCGAGCKATTAATTTTAAGTATAGCTAGAAGGATGTTGTGGATTTATTAAGACTTCTGGCGTCATGGAAATTCGATTTTAGTTTTTATACACTAATTTTTTGTAACACAATGTATAAACCCAAATGAATGTGCCTCCTATCTAACTTTACTCTTCTTCTTCCACAGATGACGTTTACACCATCACCAGTACGCCGCCTCTTCGCTGYTTCGGCGCTGCTATTGCTYTKCAGCCACGTCAATGCCGACGGTTATCATTATGGACCACCGACGGCACCATCAGCACCGGCACGYCCACCCAGTAATTCGGGTCATTACTTTGGACCTATACCAACTATAGCGCCACTACCACCGATACCAGCTCTGCCAGCACTACCCACTGGCCGGCCGCGCGTACAGCATTTCCTGCCAGGTCCGCCTCCCMCACGCACGCAAACGCAAACAATCGTKCAAGTGCATCCCGGMTCATCTGCGGCACCACGTCCAGCAACGCCTCAACAATTACCTCCGTCCGGCCCTTACAATTCGTTCGGTGGTAACTTCGGTGAGCGCTTACCAGCACAACCAACCCAAGGTGGTGGCTATCATTATGGACCTCCTACCGCATTAACGCCCTCGGCACCATCCGGCCCTGGTGGTTTCCCACAGGGTCCACTCCAACCACAACCTGTACGTGTGCCATTCGGTCAACAACCGATTTACAAAATTGGTAATGATCTCGGTCCCGACGATGATTTCTATGTGGTCAACGGACGTCAGTTGAAGCAATACGCCGTGGTGGAATTTGTCGACAACGATATCTCACAGGACACCAAACCGTTCCTCACACAATCGTTTGTGAATAATTACCGCGCATTCGTGGGCGCTTCTGGCACCGGCGCTATTGCACCATTACCCTCGGCCATGCAATTGGATTCCRCAGCAAATGCGATTTTRCGTGAGCAGCAACGTCTCGCCTTCAGAGGTGCCACCGCACGTGGTGACACGATCGCTTTAGGTTCGGGCGGCATCGGTTACGTGCGTCTGCCCGATGGCAGCATAACTTTAGGTTCGGGCTCGCTAAACTTCGTAACTGGCCAACAACATTTGTCCGAGCTGCGGAATGCGCGTACACGCTCCGAGTCACAACGCGATCCACTACATTTCGGTCATGGCCCATTGGAGGATCCTGCTATACAAGTGAACGGAGTGCTAAATAATGGCTTCTTTTGAGASGTGTTGCCTTAAGTACATATTTGTTTCATGTCACTCACTCGCTTCTTTCTAAGAAATTTAMAATTTATTTTTTATGATTTTTTGTTTAAACGCTGATTTTGTTCTCTTTTGTAAAATATTGCTGCCAACTTTAGTTTTAAGTTATTGAAGAGGAATAAGCAAGTTGAAATAACTGTATATATGTAAATTTGCATAAATATTTTGTATTTGCAATGCATATTCGACTTAGTTGACCTACGAAGCTTATGTACACACCAATGTATATATACATACTACTTGCCTATATTAAAATAAAGAAATAATATTTAATAAATTTTCAAGAGTTTTCGCTTTGTTTATAGAAAAAGGATATTAAAGTAGCGCCTAAACTGATGTTTCACTATCACATCTTTTGATCAGTGTTATTTATTAATAATATATATGTATATTAGATTATGAGAAGTTTCTCATCCTAACGTGTGAGTAGGAGTATTAGTGTTTTTGGCAAAGCTCTCCTTATAAAWTTTTTTKTTTTTTGCTCCAAAACTCTCTTTGGAATTCACATCTCCGAAAAAGCGATATGGAATTATTCTAGTTATTATAATTAATCTTGAATGTCGATTTTGAAAATTAAAAATATATATATACTACCGAACAAGTACAAGAAATACAGAAGTCACTAAATACGATACRCAATGAAATTTCCAAAATGGTTGACCGCTTGTCAGCAGGGCGAGATGGAAAGGCTTAAATACATGCAGAATGGTCAAGATTATATGCAAAAGCYGTTTAAGAAAAGTCGCTTGCTTTTTACTAACGCGGTCTCGAAAGGATTATCGGACGGCTGTTGGCCTCTTGACGTGTCACAACCTGCTAAGATCACATTCAAGCCTAATRGCTATAAGTAATGACGATGCATGCAGAAAGCGCAGGGAAGTAAGCAAAATAGAGGAGTCTGGAAAACATACTATGCCTGTGGGCAGCAATAACTAGAAAACGTCTTAAGTATCTAGGAGCTTCCGAATGGACTAGACAAACTCAAACTTAGTTACCAATTCCCTTTTAAAGTTCTCAAAAGGCGTGGCCGTCCCATATTATTACTAAGTACCATATGTATTACTAAAAACAAGCCAGCCTATATAACCTAGACTAGTGTAGTAACTCACGTAAAAGTAGTAAGCCAAGAAAGTTTATAGTACTAGTTGAATAGCGAAAGATTTAGGTTTAATATAGAAACCTAAAAGTGGTTGGATATATTGGAACATGCAATTTGTATCTACATTGGTCGTTCGGATTGATCATATTTCATGCCTCATATTTTAAATTATTTTGCCATAATTTTTTAAAGAAAAGTAGAAGTTATAAATTGGGGAGTATCCCAAACATAAAAAGTTTATAAATTTTTGATTTCTTAAACAACCAGAAAGCCAATTTTCTGTWTGGTATAAAGCCAAAAACGTCAATTTAGGYACGATTATAAAGGGTGATCGATTTCGAGGTTCCTACTTTTTTAAAGAAAAAACAAATAATTAATTGCGAAAAAATTTAATTGCGAATATTTATTCGACTTTAGACTTTACATATCATTACTGGAAAAAGTCTAACGATGCAATATCACACGATCTTGATGGCCAATTGAGCTTTCCAAAACTGTCCTGACATTATCTGCTCACCGAAGTGTTCTCTCAATAAAATACTCTAAGACGTTCCATACGTCATCCCGAGTTTCGTAAACGTGATTCAGACGACAGTCTTTCCAAATGAATGAATGAATGATGAAATGACAAACAATACTTAACAAAAGTAATATGACAGCTKGACACGACTCACGCGTACTCGTATTCTTACAAAAGGGGGCTATTGAAAAAATAACCTCTACTTGAGATCTTGGGGACATATTGAATAATTTTGACACAATCGCACATTTTTTCAGTGAGGTTAGTTTATATAGCTTTAAAGATTTACATATGTGATATGTATCTACGGTCATTTTATAAAAGATCCAATTCCGTGGATCAGCAATACGAAAGTCTATAAGGTGCAAATAAACCGGTGCTCCGTCKTTCTGATTATTTAATATGTTAAGTCATTGTTTATAACTTTATATTTACCTCGATTAGTTTCAGGTGTTTCAAGTAACTGTTAGGTGTACAATACTTTCATATTCTGGCACGGGAAGTAGCGAGATTATATGTATATATATTTAAGTGCATAAAAACCTTCGAATCAAATAATGAGGTTCCGAATTATTTTAATAAAATTTTGTACCACATAAACGAATGATTATTTACACAGAAATTGATCAAAACACAAAACGGTAAGAAATGTTAACTTCTAGCTAGAATACCCTTCCGAAATGAAAAACTTTTCCTTAAGAGTACTTAATTTTGATCTTTGTTTTAATGACAGCCATATATAATATATGCTGTTGTAGTCAGATATCGGCGTATCCCAGAGAGAAAAGGCTTTTTCCGAAATTTCAGATCGTTATCGTAAAAACTGAAGGACTAGTTCGCGAATATACAGATAGACAGACAGTCATGTCAAAATGACTCAGCTTGTAGCGCCGATCATTTATGTACGAGTATATACATATTTTATAGGATTCCGGACTTATATTTCTGAGAGTTATAAAGGATACAATTAAATGCTCCAAAAATACTGGCGCAGCTTGAAACTGAATTAAAATAACAGTTAATCATTAAAAAAAACTGACTTGTATCAAATAATTTACAAAATGAACGCGTAAACTAAGTAAAGGAGTCATCATTCATAAAGTGCATGGTAACTGCTTTTGTGCGCAAACAGCTGCATCTTAAATATTTCTGTGCAGTTGAAAAGGCACTGAAGGATAGGATGCTCAATGACAAGGAGAACGAATTTTTTGCTCAACAATGATCAATAACAGGTTTGATAGTTTAATATGATAATTTGAACCATTCAGTATWCATATATTATGAAAGTGATCATAAACAGGAAATTATAAATGAGATCAAATATTGCACATTAAACAAAAGTTTTTGTCTGACTGATGCACAGAAGGCAATGGCTATGCATGAATATGCATCTCTTAAAATTTAAAAATAATTTCAAATGTTCAAATTAAAACACATTAAGCAAATAATATTATTCAACCAATAATTGAAAGTATTTCAATAATGCACTTACCGCTAAGCGAAGTCTCATCTGCCAAATCGCGATGCTTCCGACATACGATCACGTCACTTATGACCGACGATTAATATATTAACTATTTGCTAATTATTAGCACACATTTCACTTATTTAACACTTTGCACTCACTTTGATCTTATATTTCACACATTTTTTGCATTTATAGCGCTTTTTTATAACGCTTCCAGGGAGGCACGCACTTCCGTCCACAACGCTCCTCTTGCTGCTTTTGCAGTACAAAAAGCTTACACAACAGCACTTTACTTTGCTTTATCACACAACACCACTGAAATTTGATTTGCACTAATTTTTCTTGCACAAATTCACTTTATTTCACAATTCACTAAATTTCACTTAATTTTAACAATTACACGAAATGACAGACGGCTTGCAATTGACAGGATACTCAACTTGGCGGGCTGCTAGAATCACCTGGAAAGAGAAATCAGCTGTTAGATATGTCGCTTTAGCAAAGTCACAAACCGAAAAATTCTTTTAGAAGTGAGTTGGTGACATCTATAGATGGAGCTTAAAGTGTACTAAATGTGTTTAATTGGAAGTATTGGATAACAACTAACGGTATTTTGTGGCTTCCAAAACTGTAAATTCAAACAATTAAGGGAGGGCTAAGTTCAGGTGCAACCAGCATTTATACTCTTGCCACTTTCAGGAATCAAAGCAAGGGAAATAGCYTAAGACGTAAGACGGCAACCTGAGGACCGAAATCCAAGCCATTTTATATATGTACATATACATACATACATACTACAAKGTGCATTCGAAAGTAAACAGCACTTAAAACAAAAACAGAACAAATGTTTTTTCTGACAAAATCAATTTATTTTATTGATAATAATCTCCTGCYTCAATGCATCTTTTTGCATGGTCCAAAATCATGTGTTTTAGCTCGTTGGCCGGTATGACCGCCAGTATGCCGGTGCAAACATATTGAATGGCCTCTACGTCGCCATCGACGGGATAGGCAGTCATCGCCATAAACTTGTTTCATCAATTGAAACGTTTCTGTAAAAGTTTTACAAATTTTAAAACAAAATTTAATGTTGGCTCTTTGTTCGAAGCTCAGTTTCGCCTCTATGAAATTTCCAATCTATTTAATTCTCACTGGACAATCGATAAGATAGCAGATTCTARCGCACCATACGGATTTATAGATGGCGCCACCAGGTGGCGCTGAATCAAAAGTACCTTGGAATACAGCTTGTATATATAACTCATATGGTGACAKACACATAAAGTTTGTTAGAAAAACGAAAACCATTACATGTAGTATATGGAAGTTGGGGTAGTATCGACTATATTTATACTATTAACATGTCACAAACTAAAAAAAATAATCATATAGAGTAAAGTCAGTCGGATGTTCGAAAATCCTGATATAAGTTATATGGGGGTAAGTCAAGTTTTCGCTAAAATTTATTTATTTTTGGCACAAATATACACTGTTATGAGTAAAACAATCTAGGTAATTTTTAAAACACATATTGGCCGATACATGCGGTACAAAGTCACCCAGAAGTTCGATTATCTTTATATAAGATATATGTGAAAACTAAGGGAAGTATTGATCCGATTCAACCAATTTTTAACATACACTCATACCAATRTCAGAGAAGTACTATACCGGAATTTCAGTTATACATCTCACACACTGACCGATATTTTCTAAAAAAAAAAGTCAACTATAGGTACCGGGACCTAAATATTCGGTACTTAGAGGCGTGAACAGTTTTTGTTGGATTTGAACAATTTGCGGAATACACTTAGGGCATTATTCATGCAAAGTTTAATCCCGTTATATTAATTGATTCTTGATTTTCGTACTGGAAACTGAACGAATTAAATTGAATTTAAAATTGTGTTATATGAGAAGTAGTCGTGCTTATTGTCCGATTTCGCCCATTTTCACAACGTGACGTAAGACCACGAAAAAAATGCCAGGTACCAAATTTTGTCGAAATCAGTAAGTCGGGTCCCGAGATATGACATTTTACCAAAAATAGGTGGTACCATGCTCATCGTTCAATTTTCACACCATCTCCCATAAAGCTTTCTCATACCATCCCAAATTTTTACTTCTCTAATGTATTTAGTTATTGATTTATTGCGCTTTTAGTAGTTTTTAACACTCCGTTATATGGGA